TCTCTAGCCGTCATTATCAAATTTATCTCATGCCTGAGCGCAGACATTGTCCGTGCGTATATGTAACGTTGCATGGAGATCTATTAATCTCCTAGTGGGTATCTCTTAGTGGGGTCCTATCTGCCCGCTTATAGATCGAATTATTTAGCCGGCATAGGTGATACTAGTACTAATCACGACACGTGATTAGTACCGGTAACTTCTATTCCTTTTAACATACATCTAGAATATCACTCAAAATACTTTCGATTAATTATTATTATAATCATCTCTAAACCCAACAAATTAGATTATACCAATCCAAGATCATACCAATCAATTATCTTGCTCTTAGTCTTAAACAAAGACCTCAAAAGACTTATTGCAAAGAAGATATTATAGTTTACTTTAAACTATCAAGTTCTAATGAACCAATAATTCGGAGTTCTACTCTTGCGATTTTTAATAGATTTTATCATTTGTATTATATATAACATTAAAGTATCCCTAAAACAAAGATTAAAGATTATCTTATTCATAATAGATATAAAAGATACTTTTGATATAATACTATCAGGAAAACTAATGAATCGCCTTTGGGAATAAGGATAGTTAAATAACTTGGTTAGATAGATTCAGTCCTTCGTCATTAATTGATCCATCAAGATCCGACTCGACAGCGAGATTGGCCCAGAAACAAAGCTAGAATGCAGTCTTCCTCAAGGTTTACCGATCTCTCTAATCTTATTTATACTTTACATTACACCTCTTTTTTGAATAGGCAAACTACAGAGCAGATTCGGATATACAAACGATATCGCGATACTAGCGATATCAGACTCATTATAGACAAATTACGATTCTTTAAAAATAAATATATAAGAAATTCTCAAATAGGGAAAAATCGAAGGTATCATTTTTGATCTCAAGAAATCTGAGTGTCACACTCAAGAATACTGGGTAAAGTATCTTGTATTAGAAAATACTAAGCTAAGGAGAAAAGAAGAAGGAAAACAAGAGTAGAGAGTTTTCCTATGATTAAATACAAACGGGGCATGCCACGTGACCCGGAGGTGTGAGGCGTCACACTGAGCTTATATACTTTTATAAAGAATATCGAATACTAACAGATATCTTTATAATATATATCGGATTTATAAATATAAAGATTAAATCTAATTTGTTTAGATAGCTCGGAGTCCACTGTTACAACGGCTATCTTCTATGCCGCGTCACATGACTAAACCAAAGTAACGTGATTAAAGTCACGTTATGGACCGCTGAGGAACGCTGGCTGTCCAGGACCGCGCAGCGGTCCTGACTAGCCATAGGCATGAAGGTCTATATAATCAAGATGGATTTCCTTTGTATAGAGCTTCGTGCTCAAGATCAATCATTTAGTATACTCTACTATTAGTTACGAATTGCATCATTGTCATTACTTAAGTCCCTGCTTGACGCCTAGTTATAAACCACCTCGAGAGCCTAGAGCACTTCCACGTGATCTAGACGGCAAACCTCGTAACATCCACTTCGATAGAAAACTATACTTCAAATTATATATCTAGATTCTTATAATCAAAACCCTTAAAAGAGTTAATATACTGAGATCCCTTAATAATATACATCGAGGGATACTTTTATATTTCACCAAAAAAGTAATTGAAGCTGGTATACTGTTACGTGACGGTTGTTACCCACTAGTGGCTCACGTGCACTAGCCCTGTATATAAAGACCTTCTTACTTAGAATCTTCTTAGTTCTTTAGTTTTAGATTCTAAGTGATTGAATTGACTCCGTTTACGACTTTTCCGTCACATATACTCAAATAGTGTTAAAGTGAATGGTTCCTGCGTAGCACGTGCACAGAGCACTAGTCCTGTTAGGACTAGATTGAGAAGCTTTCTTACAGAGAGCTTCGCACTTCTATAGAACTTAAAAGAGAGATTAACCTACTAAATCAATATTACCTCAGTTCTACTCTATCAGCTTCCCACTATTCCCTGTGTGAGGTCATTCCTTTTAACACTACATTCTATTATATTTTTATTATCAAATCTGTTAAAAGGAATAGAAGTTACCGGTACTAATCACGTGTCGTGATTAGTAATACGGTTACCTAAACAGGCTAGATTAGACGAACCATAAGCAGGCATATTGGTCCCCTCCGAGGATACCAAGAGGAGATTGATATGCCTACAGACGTAGTAATATAGTCAATATAGAGGCCTCTTCCACCCAATCTTTTAATAAAATCACAATATAACGATTTTACAATATACTATAAACACTTCAATCATACTATAATCCACACTTATTACTCGTATAATAAAGGAAAACTTCATTATACTTTTTCTTTTGCAAAAAAGGAAAAATCTTTAAAATACTCACAAAGAGCTCTTTCTTCGAAGCTATCCCCTGACTTTTAAACAATCCCACCGGTATAACTAAATTAATCGAATAGTTAGAATACACCAAATTCTATATAGAAATCTGCCTATGATATATAGATATAATATATAAAAAAAAAAGAACTTTCTTTTTTTCATCGGATTCAAACAGAGTTAATAGGTCTCTAAGGGTGCTTTTCCTTCCTCTTTTTTCCTCTCTTTCATCTTTCTTTTTTCTTTCATTTAAAAAAAAAAAAAAGTATACATACGAACAACCAAAAAAAGTACAAGGAGACAGGGAGAGAGATCAAGAGGTAGTGATCTAGTGGACGAGGATGACCACAATTACAACCCCAAAAGGCCTACCAGCCCAAACCCCCCTTGCGAAGGCAATCATGTAAACCCTGCCCTAGCCCCCTTTAAATTGTATAAAAATACTCTCTTTAGCTAGCTAGTAAATTACTCAGAGGCTTCTCCTCTAAGCGTTATTTGTCCAAAACTGGAATAGATGACTAAGGTTATCATGTGCCAAGGCGTATGGGCCTACGGCCTATGACGATAAACACAATCAATCAATCAATCAATCTCTACTTTTGTTTTCCTTTTTCTTTTCTCCTTAGCTTAGTATTTTCTAATACAAGATACTTTACCCAGTATGTTACGATAGTAACAACTGACTAATTAGGAGAGCTTGGGCCTTGTGCAAAAGCGATCAGATTTCATCGAATTAATATGTGATCTGGGCCACTTTAGGATCGTATGTGCACGCATCGTCAGAAAGCACGTGACTTGGAGCCTTTGGAGCTTAGGATCCAAAAGGATCCAAGGGAGCATGAATATCTATATAACCAAGATGGATTCCCTTTGTATAGAGCTTCGTGCTCAAGATCAATCATTTAGTATACTCTACTATTAGTTACGAATTGCATTATTGTCATTACTTTAAGTCCCTGCTTGACGCCTAGTTATAAACCACCTCGAGAGCCTAGAGCACTTCCACATGATCTAGACGGCAAACTTCGTAACACAGTATTCTTGAGTGTGACAATTTTAAAATCTTAACTATATTTAATTTAAAACTTTATAACACTCATTTTAGTTATTCAATTTAGACATATTCAATTTTTTCAATATATTTAATTTATTATGTTAAACTTTCTCAAAAAGCTAGAGATCCGGGGGGCGTAGGCCCCTGGTATATAAATCAATGTGCTTGACCCCTCACCGGCTCGAATTTAAAAATACATCACGTGAACCTGTACCAAAACTACTTAGGGAAACCATTCTAGCCCTGCCTCCTGCCGAAGCTTTCAGAACACTAAACCTTTAAAGTTTCTCTGGTCTTCCTTTAATCAAAGCAACCTCAATTCAACTCGATCACCCTTGAAGAATCCAATAAACACAACCCACAATCGCAACCACGGCCTCCTTAACCACCATCACAACTTCCTAGATCTCTAAACAATCAAGATCTTCAATTACATTACCAAATTCTATACATGCGCACAACTTCGCAGACAAGAAAATTCCCAATACGCCCCACTACAGATACATTAGAAGCAATCAACAACTTTCTCGATATCAACAAATACCCCTCAACTCGATAATAACCTCGTATTTTTCGCACTTCGAACTTTAACCTCATCGCGGCCTTCTTCTCTCGCGGCCAGCTCTAGTGTTATACTATCTTGATGCTAAATTAAGCGCATACAGTTTAAGACAATTTCCAATAGAACGCGACCTTGTTTCCGCGCCTCGATACTTCATCTCATATATCTATTCCAAGATACCCTCTTTCCACAAAAAATACATATACAATGGCTGATGTGCTGGCAACAAAGCTGGCCGCTACTAAGATCAAGTATGATCATCATTCCTTGACATATTCCAATTGTTGCTGATATGAGGATAGTGATGACGCTTCCCCAGACAACTGGAAAGCTGGTCTAAACATCCCAGCGAGAGATACGAGGCAGCAGACCGAGGTACTCAGTCATACTATACTGCTGTTTTACTTTTCACTGGAGTCGCTAACGAGACTTTGTAGGATGTTACTGCCACCAAAGGCCTCGAGTTTGAAGATTTCTCCATCAAGCGAGATCTATTAATGGGCATATTCGAATCGGGTTTCGAAAAGCCGTCACCAATTCAAGAAGAGGCAATCCCTGTAGCTCTTACAGGACGGGACATACTGGCTAGAGCGAAGAATGGTACTGGTAAAACTGCCGCCTTCGTCATTCCCGCACTCGAACGTATCAACCCGAAAAGCAGCAAGGTGCAATGTCTCATCTTGGTACCTACTCGAGAACTCGCCCTCCAAACATCACAAGTCTGCAAAACTCTTGGTCAACACCTAGGCGTCAACGTTATGGTTACTACCGGTGGTACGACCCTACGAGATGATATCATGCGTCTCGCAGAACCTGTTCATATCATTGTCGGCACACCAGGTAGAATTCTCGACTTGGCAGGGAAGAATGTAGCAGATCTCAGTGAATGCAATATGTTTATCATGGATGAAGCTGATAAACTCCTCTCACCCGAATTTACTATCGTTATTGAACAGCTTCTACAATTCCACCCCAAGGACCGACAGATTATGCTCTTCAGCGCAACCTTTCCCATGACCGTCAAAGACTTCTCAGATAAGAACATGGCCGACCCTTATGAAATCAATCTTATGGATGAACTTACTCTACGTGGTATTACTCAGTTTTATGCTTTTGTCGAAGAAAAAGAGAAAGTTCATTGCCTCAACACTTTATTCTCCAAACTACAGATCAATCAATCAATCATCTTTTGCAACTCTACAAATCGTGTCGAACTTCTTGCCAAGAAAATTACAGAATTAGGCTATTCATGTTTCTACAGTCATGCGCGCATGATTCAAGCTAATCGAAACCGTGTATTCCACGACTTTCGAAATGGTGTCTGCCGCAATCTTGTTTGTTCTGACCTTTTGACCCGTGGTATCGATATTCAAGCAGTAAACGTTGTCATCAACTTCGATTTCCCTAAGAATGCCGAAACTTATCTTCATCGTATTGGTAGATCAGGCCGATTTGGACATCTGGGTCTCGCAATCAACCTCATCAGTTGGGAGGATCGTTTTAACTTGTACAATATCGAGCAGGAGCTTGGAACAGAGATCGCACCTATTCCAGCGATTATTCCCAGAAATCTCTATGTCTACGAAACCCCCGAAAACATTCCACGTCCTGTTTCCAATTTTCAAACCAACACCCGTCAACCATCTGGACGTGATCAACAACAACCTACACAGCACTCTGGGAATCAGAGATCTTCTGGTCAATTTAATAATTTTAATAATGGACGCCAGAATGGTTCTGGCCAAAATCAGAATCAAGGACAAGGACAGGGGCAAGGACAAGGACCAAGACAAAATCAAGGTCAGCGTCAAAGCTATCCTAGAGGCCGAGGCGGATTTGGTGGTGGTAGAGGAGGTGGTCAAGGACCACGACAGAATGGCTTTGATAACCCCAGAGGAGGTCGAGGCCAGGGTCCACCGGCTCAATAGGCTTGTGTGTCAACAATGTGGCATGCGATGATAATGTTTTGAGTTTTGTACATATTACCTTTCTATTATTTTGCGATAGACTCGATTTTACGACGGACATGGCTGCAGGATTCTTTTTGTTCTCGACGTTGCGCTGTTTCTGGATGCACCCCACTACTCGACTCGACGTTTGATCAGGCTCATGAATATCTTCGGCTGGGCGCTGAATTTTCGTGTTTGTATCATACGACTCTCGTTTTTCGGTTTTCTACCTTTCATTTCTCGACAGATAACTACTTTGGGTCGCATGAGTAGTAGCGGATAGCAAAAGTTTCAGCGAATTCGCTCTGGCACGACGACATGGCGTATTGGCGTTTAAGGAAGGCACTCACAGGGGTGACCTTTCGAGTCCAGACTGGTTCTGCTGTAAAGGCATTTCTGGGATGGGCGATGGTGTATTTCTTTTTCGGTTTCAATTTGTGGGCTCATTTCCATGGGCTTTTGGTGGATTGGTGATGGATGAATGGGCAAATAGGGGGATGATTTGTTTGGCTAATGTTGGCAAAAGCGATTCAACCAAAAAAGGGCTCATGGCGAGCATTGAAGAGAAGAAGGGGACAAGGAAAGGGCGTTGTTGGGAGTGCTCTAAAATGGCAATGGTGGTCACTTCTCACCCTCTTCGAAGTGGGAAGCACGACATCCGGGATGAGGGGAGATGATACCAAAACAATATAAAAAAAAAGTTTAGGGAGGAACCTATGATCTTGATTTCAGTTCGGATCGAGCATGGACTTGATAGCTGACATCCTTTTCAGACAATCTTATTGCTTTTCCCTACTTCCATTTCGTTGATGATCTACATGTGATACTGTGATACGGCATTGCAATTAGATATATATGAGAGTTTGAAACAACAATTCATGTGCAGTAGAGCCCCTTACATGATGTATGAATGTCAGTTGGTTATATATATCCAACAATGTCGGAGAATATCGAAGTTTCACTTCTCGGTGCTCTCATGGTTGCACCTGTGATGGAATGTGTGATGGTACGCAGCGGATCCTCTCATCGTGCACCACAGCTAACACAGCAGCGAGGCAAATAACCTGCATTTCCCTAATCATCCGCTTTTGCCTACCTGCAGATTGATCTACATTACAGCACATAGCTTCCATTTCCATGGCCTGGGAATCGCGGAAAGATCCTGGCAAAGGACCGTGGATCACATTCATGCGGTGCCTCGCATGCGACTCCAGATGTCACTTCGGGGTCTCTACAAAGATACCTGTGGCTGAGCTGGTATGTGGTACTGAAGGTTTCCATGGCTTCAATTCAACGGATGGGCGCATGAGAATGAGACTACGAGAAACTGCGGACATTGGGTATGCATGGCGATAAGGGGAATAAATGAATGGGTGGGAGGGGAATAAGGAAATATGCCCAAGGAGAATTCATTTTTCGTCTGATGTTTCACTTTTCGAGAAAGTTCTTGAAGTTCGTGAAGTTTCTGATGTTGTTGATGTTTCTTGAAGTTATATAGTTTTCGATGGTGGGACGTAGGTACGTAGGTAGATGTGGAATCATATATCGAGGAATGAATCCGATGATAGGATTTACGTAATATGTATGCATTTTGCATTTCTAGATGAATGTATTTCTATATTGGTATGAAAATTAAGGATGTAAGTCTTACCTTTGTACTCGGGAAATATCCATTTTGATTGAATATCACGGAGGTTTGCTCTTACTACTACTACTACTATTCAATGGGATGACGTCCCGCTATCCCGCTGGGGGTCACTATCGTAGAGACAGGCTGTTTTGGAAAAGGGATTTTTTTTTTGATATCTTCAATCTTTGAGCGTAGCGAGCTATGGGTTTCAGGGGCTTGCCTACATTGATATACTTACGAATCAACAATTGGTATTATTTGATGTAATTATGTAGAATTTAAGCCAAGAGCCAGAAGAATGAATATTTTGACATGTAAACTTTCTCCGTCCTTACGATGATTGGGTTCCCCAACCCTAGTAACCTTATTATTAATTCCCCAAGGACAAAATATGGTAAAAGTAAAATAGACTTCGTGACATTGCACATACATGCGGAATAACTCCTCGTCCCAAGAAGTCGAACGAAAAGCCAAGCGGGCGGATAAATGTCCAGTAGGAAATGAGAAAACACATATGTCAGCCGGACCGTTCCGACATAACGACCGAGGGATGATATCGTGGCTTGAATGGATGATGAATTTATATGAAATTGAGAGAGGAGATTGGTTGATGGGAAGAGAATGGATTATATGATTATATACATGTGATACTTTGATACTTTTGGTTTTCGCAGTGGTGAAAGGGTGATGAAGGATAACGATTAACATCATCATCATTCATCGTTCATCATGATGAACGAGTATGTACGGAGTATGTATAACTACATAGGATGTGAGTACGTACCGAGTATGTATACCTAGTAGGTTAGTGGAGGTAGTGGTCGACGATGATGATTGATTTTGATTAACCCCCTTTTACCTTTTCCCTTTTCCCATTTCCCATTTACCCTCTACCCTTAACCCTTTCTGCTTCCATTGCTTACTTTTGTATTCCCTTTTGTGTGATGATGAGCAAGCAAATGAGCAAGCAAGTAGGTCAAGTACCCAAGCAACTATCGATAGACAGGCAAGTTAGTTTATGCTTACCACCCTTTATCGTTTCCCATCATCTTCTTTTCCTACAGAAGTACGGAGTACGGAGGAGTATATATCTAGAATAAATCCTGAGATGATCTGATTTTATAATTATTATTGTTATTCCTATGGTTGTGTCCTTAAAAGGTTCACTTGCTTTATTTAAATCATTCATCAATCGTCCTACCTAAGGATTATAGTTTATTTATTATATACTAGGTTCTTACTCTTACTGCCTTGGTATTTATATATTTTACTCTTCAATTACTCTACACTTTACACTTTATACTTCACTTCACTTCACTCACTTTAATCTTCACACTCCATTCCTCACTCTTCACTATGATGGAATCACTATTAACCTCTGGGAATTGCCGTACTACTTAAGCGCCCCCACCAGACTCATCATTCGGTCTTTGGATTCTTTGGTGTATCTATATCCGTGTGCCCGTGTGTTCGTTCTAGAAATTAATTAATAAATTTACTATTCTACTTTCACATATATTCAAAAAAAAAAAAAATAAGAAACTTCTCTTCACTTGGTCTACATTTTAAATCTTTACCCAAATACCAATTCAATTCCTTTTCATTCAGTTCATCTCACTTCAATCCAATTCAATTCAATTCAACAACCGTATCTTTTCTCTACGAAAATAACCTCGCCTTTGCTTCTTCCGTTCGACAAGAACATTGTAAGATTACATCCTTCTCCTTTCTATTCCGTGTAATCCGACCTCTCGAGTACTCTGTACGAATTGATTGTACCGGGTACACAACACCAAATAATACGACAAGAGCAGAAAGAGGGTGTGAGAGTGTGAGACGACCCTGAAAACAAATCCACTTTGGTCCCAGAGGTCCCACAGAAAGGGACGGCTACACGGGAAAAGAGAAAAGTCTAAGACATTTAAAAATACCGATACTTTGGCAACAACCAGGAACCAAGAGGAAAAAGAGAGGAAGTCGAAAAGAAAAATAAGACTGATCCATCCATTGATCTTCTTCTAAACATGGCTTTAATTGTAAGAGAAATTATTCTTTCACACATCCTCACCCTATCCCTCTCCCTCACCCTCATTTCTACCAATTGTTCATGGTCGCATTCGCATCATTGCCCCTAAAGCCGCGATTCCTTCCTACTGCTGCGCCTACGTTTGCCTCTTGGAAGGGCGCACAATATTGTTGTTCGCGCGGATGATCTGCGAGTGGTTCGCATTAAACTCAAGGGAGATCGGAGTTTGATCAGGCAATCATGAGACCTTGTACTGACCTTGTGTTTCTCTGTCACAGTTATGCCTCGCGCATTATTGCGACACTCATGGTCCGACCCCGGTTATGGTAACAGAAGCACTTCCCGTGGGTTGTACTTCGTGTCCAGAAAAAGATGAATTTATCCATCGAAGACCTAGCACAAGTAGATCTTTTAGATCCTCGGAACCTTCTTTAAATACAAACGCGCGCTCGTCGAATAGAACAAATTCTACCGTCTCCGAGACCGATGTCGCGGCGAGTAGACCTGCTCTGTATGTGAATTCAAATCCTTCAAATGCTTCGAATACAACAGGTTCTGCGGTCGAAACACCACCTCAAAGTCCTAGAGCACCTGCTTCGCAAAATGCACAAAATACCACCAATAATTCGCGACGCGATTCGAGCTTTCGCAAAACATATCCTAGTGAAAAGCCAGGTCCATGCGAAAATTGCGCCCTCACTTTACCTAAGAAGACGAAGGAAGATGCGCCTGCAAGTCCAAAGCCTGCGGCAGGTGGAAAACTCGACAATGGTCCAATTTTGCGAACACGGAAACCATATGAGCGCATTGCAGGCCAGAGCACCCCTCCAAAGTCTGCATCGTCGGATTCGGAGGATTCGGAATGCGCAATTCAGAAAGAAGAACGGCAAGACCAGCATCAGGCGCGAAGATCCTCCGTAAAGCGATCCGATACATCCCCTCCTACCTACACCACTAGAGAATTTCTCTCGCATAACCATTTCATCGACTACACGTCAACGCATGAACCTCTACAGCCTACCTCCTTCTCAATTATCCGCCAATCTTGTCTCCGGACCCTCTCTTGCGAAACCCTTCCACCATCCTCAAATCCTACACCTAACTCCACGCCCTCCTCCCCATTCATCTCTAGTTTCTCCTCACACCTCACCTCTTCCACAACTACCTCTTCCGGCGGTCCAATCTTTTTTGGCGATCCAATGGCGGGCTACACCACAGCATACATCTTCCGCATTCCAGATCCTTCCGCACGCGGTCGTCGTCGCGTGTATGCTTTGATTGCCCTCTCAACTCATAAAGAACGAATGGCGATGCGCACCTTTTCTTTCCTCGACGCCGCGTTTCGCGAAGTTGCAGATTGGATTGCGCGCCTTGCCGACGAAGAACTTGCACGTTCTGAATCAGCGCTTCAGTCTCCTAGACTGGGCGACGAGAGAAATGGTAATGGGAATAGTCATGGTGTGTTTGGAGGTGGTGGCACGACAACTACACCCACTTCTTCTTTCTTAAGAGGCGGCAACAGGGGACCTGATGGTAGAATGGTGGGTGCGAGTTTGAAGGGTAGAGGATTGGCCGAGTTGGTAGGACTACCGGATTTCTTTATTGAGCTGCATAGTAGATTTGTGAGGTTGCTTGCGGAGATTGAAAGGCCTAGATGAGGTGCTCGATTTGGGAACTTTTGATCTGAAGTCCAAAGGTCGAAATTGTCAAGATGAGGGGAACGAAATATTCCCACCTAATACTTGCACTTTCGAAGGAGAAGAGGTGTGTTGTCATGACTCACGGTGATGCATAGATATTGGCGTTTGTGATTCCCGGTTCAGTTCTTGTTGTGTATTGTGTTGGGTCCGTCTAGTGCAGATTGGACCATACGATTGTTTGGAGTCTTGCGCTTTTTTCCTTTGCTTTTTTCTTGGGCTGTTCTAATTTTTCTTTGTTGTGCTGGGACCATGAGTAAGAATGTTTGGGAAGTGGTAAATTCTATATGAGGATGGATCTAAGAGCGTATTAGCGTTTTGTTTGTGATCTGGTCGAGAGACGGTGAAAGATATGGATATGAGAGATATCTATGGGAACAGATTGATGTCACGATATGGAACATGAAAAGGGTATTTTGCAGGATGTACTGGTGTATGAGAGTAAAAGGAAGAGGGAAAATGGGAATGTTGTTGTATGTTTTAATTTTCGAAGGCGCACTTGTTGGGCGAGCAAAAGATATTGATACCATATGGTGGTTTGATGGCGTGGCGGAGATGTATAGTTTGTTGTTATTGTATATGTATATTGAGTGGATTGGGGAGGCTGTGGATACTAAAAGCTGGATGAATGGGTTGTGATTTGAGCTGGGAACAGAGGATTAGAGAAAATAATGGGATGGAAAATGGTTGCGGCATGTGGTTGTTAGTAGTTAGAATTAGGTAGTAATAGGTAGTTGACAATGTATGAAGTATAATACTCATCCCTTTGAGATCTTGTGAGTGCTTCTCTTTTTCTCTCTTCTTTTGCAGGTATGTGGATAGGTGTAGGGAAAAATCAAGATTCTTCGAGTGCAAAGGATCCCCTCAAAGAACAGAATAGGAAGAAAAGGAAGAATGAGGAAAGACAACATGGTTATGGCTTATTGAGGTAAAAGATTTTAAATATGGAGACGCTAGGTAAGTATACAGGCAGTAAGATTACAAAATCTCAAAGATGAAATTTCTTTCCTCTTGTTATATTTTCTTCGTCACCTACCCATCCAGGTCCTTTCATACGTCTTAGATGGGACGTTAATACATAATCTATCAATCAAATTCACATATAAGTTTATATTTACAAAAATACAGAGTTCCCATCTCAGATCAGTTTCTCGGAGAGCCGGGAAGAGGTTAGTCAATCATCTGAGAATTTGTGTGCTTTATCTATCCTGCTTCTTTTTTTTTCTTTTATTCTTGCAGGTTATTGTATTGTAATCTTATTTTTTCTTTCTGTCTATATTTTTCCGTGCCTGATTTCTAGTTTTTGAAAAGATGGATGGAGAGGTTTTGCTTTTTTGGGTGGATATTTGGGTGTATGTGAGCATGTGCCACCAAGCAAGTTCCAATGTCCATACCAACAAGTCACTGAGATGAGACAAAAAACACATTGTACCGGAAGAATTTCCTGAAATTTTCTCAGAAATGAGGATATTAAAAGACCGGATTCTGAAAACAGTAGCGCAGTCGTCACAAGGATGACCAGAGATGGAGAAATCCTTTGGCTAGTCTGATGAGATTGGAGACTAGTAGGCTCCAAGCTGGAGAAGCAAGTTCGAAAGAGATTATCCATTGTTGTATTTCAGGTGGCGAAGAAAGATAGTGATTGCTTTATTCCATATTGTGATCCTTTACTTTAACTGATTTTACTAAATCAGCATGTTTCCTTGGAGTGATTGTCCTTCCCGCCTTCCTGCCCCTTCTCGGTAATCAAACTAGTCAATAGGGGAACATGGACTCTTTTAGAGCTAGCTGTTCAATAGTTCATCTTTTACCTTCTGTCTGCTTGCTGGTGAAGGATTTGGCAGGAGATACACTTATTATGGTTGAAGTTGAGTATGTGAGTCACTTAAGTTCCATCGGCTCCATCTAGGTTATCTTTCACGAAGTATTTTCTTAAGCCGTTGGTCGTTGGTCTTATATTTCGGGATCGATGCTTTTGGCTGAGGTGTCGTTTTCGTTTTCGGTTTTGGTTCTGGCTTTCGTACTCCTGCTTCTTTATATTTAAATTTTTGCTGAAAAGAAAATAGAATGTAAATCAAAGCATGTATAAATCCGGACACAAAAAGCTGTTACTTGTCGCGGTATGGCAATACATAAACCTTAAACCTTGTAATAACTGTGTAAGGTGTTTTACCTGTGCCTTTTCAGCAAGATTATTTGGTTCTACATCCCGAATAATTTAGTCCCTCTTATAAAGTCAATATTTTCGTCGTTACTGCTCGCTTGCATCCAGCCAATTAAACCATGCCTGGTAATACGCACACTTTCATTTTTTTAAGCTTCACTCACTGGACTCCGGACATGTATTTTTCTTCGATTGACAGTCAGAATAATAGACGGCGGAAAATTACTTGAATTAAGAGATAACATAATATTGTTACAGAAGAGTTCCTCGGATCATGCTTAATCTGACTAAGGTTGCCCCTTCCAAGCCCAGTGAAAATGGAGTGAGTAGTTCTGAACGATAAGCTTGCTCTTTCCTTGTCGAGAACCCCGCAACTTGACGTTCCGACCATTGATCCGACCTCTTTTCCCTCGTAATTGCAGATCCATTGCAGTCTCATCGATTGCTCAAAACATTGGGTCTTGCCCTATGCCGCCACAATCAGAAAGCTAGGAGACGATGGACTTCGTAGGTTTTCCAAAACGCAAATATGCAAGCGACGAACCATTTACCTACACAATCCTTCCTTCACCTACTTCCATACGATTGCTTGAGATAAGATCAAAACTATTGGGTCGCACCAAATACTCTTTTCATGTGGTGGAACTTGCTGAAGCTCCGACATTCGACGTTGTATCTCATTCTCGTAGAGATCTGGTTCCACGGAACCACATCATACTTTGCGATGGCAAGATATTGAAAATATGTGCGGACGCAAAAGATGCAGTCAAAGCGGGAAAAGATATTGGTGCGAAAACTTCTAGAAAGACGAAGATACGATACATTTGGATTGATTCTGTATGCATCAATCCAGAAGATGCCATGGATCGCACTGTCCAAATTTCAATCTTACCAGAAATACTCAAGAAAGCTCGGAATATCATCGCTTGGCTCGGGAAGAAGGATGCCTTCACTTATGATGCTTTGAAAGCGCTCAAAACACTATCTTTAGTACCACATGATGAGTGGTCGAATTTAGTTAGTCTGGATTGGGACTACCAGAAGAGTTACTTTGAGAGGCTCAATATTGTTCCCTTACAACTGCGATCATGGCTTAGCCTGATAGCTTTCTTCAATAGACCTTGGTTTTCAGGGATTTGGGCTGTACAGGAGGTGGCGATGGGGAACAATGTAATCCTTTCTTGCGGCAAGAATGTAGTTCCTTGGGAAATGGTTTCGAAAACATTGTCCTTTTTGACCCACACCGGATGGTATAAAGAACTGCACACTAATCATTTGACAGATTTTCCTGGTGATGGATTGAATGGCAGGCGACTGAAAAAATACCAGATACTACTGAACTCAGACACTGGTTTTAAGATGGCAGTAATACAGCTTGAATCCACTCGAGCAGGGAGGGAATCCACTCAAATTCTTCCGTTATTTCGATATCTTCTTCGCGCTCATCGGTATTGTGAAGTTTCTGATAAACGCGACATTATTTATGGTCTGCTTGGTTTATCGAGGAAAGACAGCCTTCCGTTCACAAAGTTTCCAGATGCCCTTTCACCCAATTACGAAATCGCTGCACAAGATGTGTATAGCACCGTTGCTAAAATATTGCTCCGATGTTACGGTCTTGGTATCTTGTCCGATGTTCAGGACTCGGTAGCGTCTATACCTAACCTACCAACCTGGGTCCCGGATTATAGCGTCCCAAGAAGACCTCTGCCATTTTCAATGCGTGGCGACTGTAGTTGGAGTGCATGTGGTGATTTGAGATGGAGACCAGAATTCTCGGAGACAGATTCTACGTTTTTAAAGTTGCAAGGCATACCGCTCGATGTCGTTTGTGAAAAGGTCAAACAACAGAATAAGTCATTACACCCGATGGAATTCTTGGATGGAGTATATGAAGTTGCAGCTAATCTTGATCCTATATATCCCATTTCGATGGGTGGCAAGTGAGTCTCTCGAAAGCGCTTGTATTTCTATAAATCTGCTAATTCCATGAATCAACAGGTTTCAATCTTCGCGGGAAGTTGTATGGCGCACTCTTTTAGCCGATGCATACCAAAAAGAACATCCGGCACCACAAGAATGCGAAGAACTCGTAGCACAATATCAGGAATGGGTACGCAACGGTGCCCACGCAGCATATTCCATGCAGCGAATAAGCATCACGGAAAAACAAGAGCGCAAATACAGCAAAGGCGATTTCTGTCAACTTGAGAAAGAAATTGAAGCTGCAAATGACGCTCGAAGTTTATTCCGAACTCGCAATGGCTATCTTGGCATTGGGGCACAATCGCTACGTCCACTTGACGAAGTTTGGATTCTGGCAGGTGCCTCAGTTCCATTCATCCTCCGAAAATGTGAAGATGAATCCTATGAGTTGGTCGGAGAAGCATACTTACATGGTGTTATGCACGGAGAAGCATTAGAATGGGGACTTGATTTGAGGAGTATATCGTTAAAATAGCGACGAGGAACAGTTTTAGAATGTGGCAGATTCGCGGCGGAAAATGGTATTTTGACAAACTTAGCTCAGTATGCCCTGGGGCTTCAGAGCCCAAATCATTTGGGAGATACTAGTTGATTCGGAGATATGTAATGGGCTGCAATGTTCTGTAACAACATCTGAGATCATCAAATGATAAATAGCGTTTGACAAAGTGCATTTTAAAGACTTCTCATTTCCTTTACCTGATTCTGCAAATAAATTCTCAATTAAAGGATGCAGGCTTTCTTGGATTTTAAGACTTTATCTGATTCACCTCCTCAGATTGATTGCTATAAGTAGTTGTGGTAATACGATTGAGGTTGCTTCCTTTCTTTTTTCTCGGGGCCACCATTTGTTGTTAGAACACACCAGTCATTTAAGGCCAATACTGTTGTGAAAAGTCACGTATACCGGCGTACGATAAATCAGACAACCATGTATTGAAATGGAATATAAAACCAAAATCATCAAGCATTGATGTCAATGCAGGTAAGAGACTCTAGAGTGCACCAAATGCACTATATATAGCATTCACATACGCTTTTGTACGGTCTGAACCAAGACCCCCTGTAGCATCCATCTTGTTCATAGCATATGATATTGTTAAATGACGATCGAGATCCATGATAACAATGGAGCCACCATATCCACCCCACGTACATACTCGTCCTTCAGGTAACCATTTCAAGTCTGTGTCCTTTCCAGAGAGCGCAAATCCGGTACCAAAACGAACGTTCATTCCAGTGACCAAGTCAATTCCTTTGGACTGCTCCTGGAAAATAAGGTCAATTGTCTTCTGTGATAGAAAACGTACTCCCTTTGCTCCACCTCCAAGTGAGATCGGACTGAGCATAGTAGCAATTGAGAGAGCATTACCATGACCATTAACCGAACCAATTTCAGCCTCTCTCCACTTTCGAGTATCAACAAGAGAGGGATCCAGCGCAGGATTATTGAAGGTTCTTGCTGGTATCGAAGTCATGTCAATAGGAAAAAAGACGCTTGCGTCCAAAACTGGAAACAAGAGAGGCGATATTCGGTGCCAATTTTTCTCTGATGCTCCAATCTCAAAATCCGCTCCTAATGGCCCGGCAATTTCCTGGGCAACAAAATCTTTCAGAGTTTTCCCAGTCACCTTCTGAACGAGTTGGCCGATTAAGAAACCATATGTGTACAAATGATAACCAGAAGCTGATCCTGGAGTCCACCAAGGTTCTTGTTCCGCTAGTTTCGCAACACTGCGGTCGAGGTCAAAAAGATCTTCCATCGTCATTGGCGCATCCCAGCCTGACAGTCCAGAAGTATGCGATAGGATATGTCTAATCTCTATGGATGATTTTCCATCACCAGCGAATTCAGGCCAGTATTTAGAGACCTTTTCGTTTATGTCGAGAAGTCCCCGATCAACCAGTATCAGAGCAGCGAGAGCACAAACAGCTTTGGTTGTAGAGAAGACAGTGACAATCGTGTCACGTTCCCATGCCTTGGTCTTATCATGTGTACTAAAGCCTCCCCAAATATCGACCACGGTTTCTCCATTGATGTTAACAGCGATAGACGCACCTAATTCTTCTCCACTTTCGAGATAGTTTTGAAGGAAATTTGACACCTCTGTGAATTTAGGATCGACATATCCGTGTACTTGTTGCTGCATGGTTTATAAGTAATGACCGTCGGTAGTATGGAAAATAATTTGAATTAAGACAGGAATGAATGATCATGAGTGTTAAATATGTTCATTTTTGTTTGGGTAGAACCCCAAGGTTCTAACCATTTGAAGCAAACCCCGCCATTCCGGCAAGTCCTACCCCACCACGCTCATCTCACCAATCTTACCCTTGATCTCGGCTAAATACTTCTCATTCATAGATCTCAAATTGTAATAAGCTCGGATAGAACGTTGTTATACTTCAAAAGCAAACAATGGACAACTGAACCTTATCAATGCCTAGAATTTGGAGATGGCATAGGGTTTACAACATTGAGGCAAGTTCAGCAAAAATGATAATACCAAAACCTTTCTTATAGGTGGCTAAAGCAAAAGCAAAACACTATCTGCCTTAAGATGTTACGAGGTTTGCCGTCTAGATAATGTGGAAGTGCTCTAGGCTCTCGAGGTGGTTTATAACTAGGCGTTAAGCAGGGACTTAAGTAATGGCAATGATGTAATTCGTAATTTAATAGTAGAGTATACTAAATGATTGATCTTGAGCATGAAGCTCTATACAAAGGGGATCCATCTTGATTATATAGACCTTCGTGCCTATGTGTTACGTCGGACTCCACAAGCCCACTACCACGTGATTCAATCACGTGATGGACCCTCCGTAATATGCACGAAAAATAAAGGTCCAACATATTCTTAGGTCTAGGACCTTTCGGAGTCCTGAAGGTCCATAGCATGAAGGTCTATATAGTCAGGACGAATTTCCTTTGTATAGAGCTTCGTGCTCAAGATCAATCATTTAGTATACTCTACTATTAGTTACGAATTGCATTATTGTCATTACTTTAAGTCCCTACTTGACGCCTAGTTATAAACCTACCTCGAGAGCCTAGAGCACTTCCACGTGATCTAGACGGCAAACCTCGTAACACTGTATATGTACATCTTGTGTACAACAGTGACTGTAAATTTAACTGAATTCATAATCACATCAAATGAAGCCTGTTTGGTTTCCACACTAGGTAGAATTAGATGACTACTCTGTAAATTACTTCATCGGCTTCATTTATCTGAATTCTCAACCCGCCAACGTGTTCAGCGGGATAGAGGCATTCTTATTCTGCGGAAGTGTTGTGAAAATCCAGATTAACAGTATGAATATAGGAACTGAAGACAATAGTATTTCTAAAAATTTCTCCCTGATGCTTTATATGCATATGGAAACGAGAAGCAGAACTATCTAATCTGATGAAATTTCCTTAAAAAAATGTGCCGCTTAGAATCAGGAGTTCTGGGACTCGACAGTTCATCATTCCAAAAATAAACTCTCCATTTTCTCTCTTGCTACTCCGGAAAGCTCTCCATTCATCAACCCATGCACATACGCCTCCCCGATCAACCGTCTATTGCCACTCTTACTTCCCTCCACCTGTCTCAAAACCATTGGAACCTTCGAGCCCGCCACAATCCAAATTTCATCAACCTTTCCAATATCCAACGTTTGAGCCCCAATTCCCAAATATCCTCTCCGTGTCCTAAAAATCCTCCTTCCTGCGTACACTACTCTGAAGGCCTCATAAAAATCCCTGTAATCTTTGTCGAATTTTGTCTTTTCAGAATCGGCTAGGTTTTCGTTGGCCGCTACTTTGATTAATTTCTCTAGATCTTTCCACGTGGGTATCAAAGACCTGTTAATGTTTTTTTGGGATAAAGCATTGATTAGTCTTTTGGTGTCGTCGTATGTGATCTGGAGGCTGGCCAAGTCAAGGGTGTGATTTAAAAGTGCATCGTTGTATGCGATACTTAATTCAGAGACGCGTACCGCAAGAAAACACTGGAAAGCGTGTCGTGCATCTTCTTTAGCGGGCAGCTTTCTGAAAGTATCCTTAATGATCGTTCGCCAGAATGCTTCGAAATATGTTTCCGTGTTATCATCGATGTGGGGATACTCTTTGTTTGGATAGTTTGCTAGCAGTTCTAGCACAGTGGTGAATCTGAAATCATTGCCCATGATTTCAGCTTGAGTAGCTGCGCATTCAGATATAATATCAAGCTTATAAGCTGTGATAGGCAAAAGATATTGCAATTCCAGTGGCGGAAGAGCTGGTACTTCAAATTGAAAACTTCGAGCGGCATTCCATCTCTCACCTCCCGGCTGTGGTCTTGGATTTCCAGCCAGAGGTTGCGGATTAGATGCCGAGTTAAAATCCGGCACCCAAGAAGGAAGGTCCCCCATCAACCTCACAGATTTAGGATCTTGAGTTCCCAAGGTATAATCCTCAACAAGAGAAAGAATGTTGAGATCTTTAGTTTCAAATATGATCTCCCATGCCGCTCTCGTATAAACGCTCGCTGTCGTCGGATAATTTTTATAATTCGGCGTCATATCTTTTGGAATTATCTTCCCTACTTTTCCCCAAATACCTTGGACTGCATAAATTTTATCTTTTGGATTAGTGGCGTCGAAGAACCTGGAATAATACAACAATTTTTCCAGATCTAACACTCTTCCAATATCTCCTGTTCGCAGTGTAGCCATGTCTCTCATGCTTTGGAAAATTGATTGGTTGTTCAAAGTGTTGTTGACGTAAACGGTTCCCTCAACATCATCCACAGTCTCAACCAATAACTCCATCAGTAATGTCCCCAATCCAGTTTCCCTGAGAATTTTTGCACAAGCTGTTATATCTGCCCATTGAATAACATCACTGCCACATATTACCACGATCTTTCCTGGCAGAAATGCTTCCTGCACAACCCATATGCGACTAAACCATGTGCGTTGTAGAAACGCTGCATATTCCAACCACTTCCAACTTTCCACCTCTTCAATACCCATTTTTGGATATATATCCCAGTCCTCAAGATCAGTGATATGCAATTTGTTATATCTTTCTTCGGGAATTTCAGAGAGGATATTAATAATTTCAATCGCATATGGAGAATGAAAGTCTGCGACGCCGAGCCAGATAATCACTTGTGAGCATTTCGAATATATGTCTCCCATCATACCAACCTGCATATTTCTCTCCTCAATGCTGTCTTGATTGACACAAATACCATCTATCCAAATGAGATTTTCAGCATTGAACTTTCCGCCCTTTTCATTTTCATACTCGCCATTACGTTTGCTAAATTCCATCAAAGCAAACAATAAGTTTTCTGTTATCAGTAAAATTTGATCATTACACAGAATGGGATGTTCGCGTTTATCATTGCTGCGATGAATCTCCTCTTCTGGGCTAAGAGCATGATAAAGTGGATCAGACCAAGTGTAAGAGAGACAATCGTATGGGGGTGCTGTTTCGAGATTTACTTCTCGAAGTGTTACGCGAATTGGTTCGCCTGGACCAGAATCGAGATGTAGTAGACGTATAAAAGGAGAAGAGAGTATGTATGGATATATTGTGCTACGTGTGAGTGACATGATGCATCACAGTGTTTGCAATAATTCTAGAGGCTCGTATCGGGATCTTTAAGGGGAGATTTTGGTCATGTCAGGACGTCTGGGGTTATATACATAGTGCCGAGCGACTGTGTGTCTTAAAGATTGAAGGATGCATGCAGAGTCAGGGCGCTTGAATTTTAGGTCCCACTGCTGACGTGCGGAAGGATGAGGTAAGCCCTGTGGCCAACAGCCAAGAAAAGACTTGAGCTTATGGCTCGAAGTGGTCACATCACTGTAGTCATCACTCTATTTACTCCTGTAATTTAATTTTATGATTTTAAACAAGTGCTCAAATGAGATTTCTCTTGGCAATCTGCCGAAATCATGTAATTATGCTAGTATTGTACAACTAGAAATCTGAATGCTCCAAAACTCATCCTCAATATTTTCTTTCCCTAAATAATTTATAGGGCATCATTAATGCTTTTTAGCAAAAGGGTATAAATATGGTATCTACAAGAAAACACACATGATGCCCGAGTATTCTTAATCATTCCACCCAAGAATCCTTAGTCCTGAACCCCTAACCATCATTATTTCCATCATTAGCTCAATCACTTAGTACAATCAGCACACCCATTAAGGATAATCGAACTCAACTTCTTCTTAGTTCCACAATTTGGGAGACAAATGTTATGGTAAATATGTTGACTCCCCAACTTTCCGTTTGTACTATGCGGTACACAAGTAGTCTCTGTCCTAGAACATAGTATGCCTGCTCTGGGACATTTACTCAAACACTGGGATACAGCACCGCCACCATGGCAGGATGGAACATTCACACAAAGTTTCCCACCTCGACAATCTGCATCCTTGGTACATTTAATGACTTTCGCGGATGCGGGGGCATTTCGAGAAGCTCCTTCATTCGCATCTGGGAGACCATTGTTAAGAGCTTGGAGGATGAAATTCGCAATGGGGGAGGTGGTTAGGGAAGAAAGATAATCGGTAATGTTGGTGGGAGTCTTGGGGCTTCCGGATGGACCAATGAAATTCGGTAAGTTCTGCGATGTGGAAGAATAGCCGGTTGAATCCTCGACGCACAGACTAGAGTTATTCCAGATGGCATCGGCTGCATACTGCCAAAGATTGGTATAGTTATATATGGTTTGTGGAGTATAGTAGATGCGACAATCTGCGGCTTCATAGGCAAATTGTAGTGGAATTTCCGCATTTTTGCGGACTTGATCACGAAGATTAATATCCGCATAATACACAAACACGCTGAGTTGCTCCGTCCTATTTGGAAGGAATGTCGCATCTGGTGAGCTCTGATTTTGTAAAAGTTGTTGAGTGATTTCGATGTTAGCATCAAGGGTAAAAGTATCGTAGCCGCGTGCACCGCGAGATCCAGAAGGGGCTTGCATCGGTCCTGCTGTTGGGGTTCCACCCACCGCAACAACTTTCACACCTGCTTCATGGCGGAAAAATTCCATCAAAAGAGCACAAGACGAGTGACAAATACCGTCCGATAACTACCATGATTAGATTGTGAAACCATAGATCATTTGAGAAGGTCACTTACAATAATGATATCTTCCGCTGCAAATGGTGGCCGAGCTCCAGATGGTGCAGGATTTGCATCATAGCCGTAGACTGCAAAAGGATCATCGTTGATATCTAGGCCGGTGCCCGAGGCATCAATAATAGCACTAGATAGGTTGTATCGTTCCTATCGATTCTCGTTAGCTGTGCCCTTTGGAGAGAAAGTATTAGTAATTAAGGTGAACATAAACGTACAATGTTAGTGAAGTTATCACCATTGTATAGATTAGGTCCGAAAAATTCACCCCAATTAGTGAAGTTGCGATTAGTGTCCGCATTGATCCGATCAGTAATTACCCATTCATCAGTGGCCAAGGCATATTTTGTCTCATCATCTTCCGCCAGACTATCCCAGTACGATGTGAAAGTCTTGCCAAGAACATCAGCGGCGGCATGGGCTCTCATGCGAGAGCCAGCAAAAGGGTCAATATTCGGAAAGAATTGTTTGAATGTATCAATAGCGAGCAAGGATTGTCCACCATAATTCTGCTGAAGGTCAATCACAACCTTCTTGAGACCGGCTGCTTTTGTCTGATTTATAAATTTGGTGATGGTTTGCTGAAAGCTATAGACCGCGTCCCCATCAACATCGAAGCTTGGAATACTTAGAACAGAAACAGATGTAGAATCGAGGAAATAGCCTGTTCTTCCATTAGTAACCATATGGATATTGAAGTGAGGATAAAGGACACCGAGCTGGCAGAACCTTGGATCACATACCAGAAACAACTCCATCGCCAAATGTTCCAAGGCCTTCTTGTGCAACATCTGGTATACCAGGGTAGGCATCATTGACCCATCCTGTCGGTGTTGGACTTATCGAAGAAACGGCGGCCGTGGATGAAGCAGTCGCAGATAAAATAGAAGAGTCATCACTCGAATCATCATCAGAATCATCTTCTGACTCATCTGGATCGTATGATGCAGGGTAGAATCCTAAAACGAAGAAATTGTAAAAGTCACCCCCAGTTTGAAGAGGACCAGTTGGACCTGGGCTATCGTAGACCGCCAAAAAATTCTCAGTCCAAGATGTCCCATTTTCCAGAACGAAAGTGATATCATCACCAGGGTAAAATGTCGCACCGCCACTGAATACATTGAAGAATCCTTGAATATCTTGAGCTGCACTTAGCATCAACTGGTTCCAATCTGCATGAGGCTCAAGTGTGCCCGCCGAATTTACCGATGCGAAATCCGAAAGATAAGCGGTGGCATCTCTACCATTGATTGACTTGATTGCTGAAGGCTGGAAAATTGTGAAATATTCACTGTCGAAGAGATCATCGGCTAGATAGATCTTCGGAATTTTCTGGCCATCTAATGATAGTGATACCACATCCCTTGGGCTAGCGAAACTAAATGCTGACAAAGCTCCTGCTAACATGTCGACATGGCCGTCATGCGCAGCGTAAATCAGAGTCTGCAGAGTAGATTCAAACTCGTATTGATTTGAAAAAATTCCTTCGTCTATTGCGGTTTGAATTCGCTTCAGTCCCGCTAAAAGGTCCACGGCTGGTTGCTGATAACTTGTGGGCGGGTTTCTCAGATAGGTCAATGTACTCTGGAATTGGAGAGTGTCATTATAATATGATATAAAACGGGAGGCGACAGCAGGATTGAACGGGACACTAGTGAGGCATTCAAATGCTAGACTTGCATTGAATATAACAGTGTCTATTATTCCATCAGTTGAGAAACTCGGTGGCTGTCGTATTCTTTATACCTTCATTATTAACGATATCACCACAGGCCGTCGAAGCGGGGTTCCTAGCACTCAGCGTCGCAGTCGTTGCAGATGTTAGACTGGCGTACACGCCCCCATTAACATAAAGGAAAAATAACACTTCAACACAATGGGAAAAACGCATGGTACAGTAGCTAAGAAGAGGAAAATTGATGAAAGTGAAAGACCGGCGCTACCTCGTGACTCTCATCAGTTGGGGGGGGGGAAGAATTTATACATAAGGTTTATTGTCATGAAATACAGTGAAGATTCAGTTTGCGGCTGATAATGCAGGGCTATGTTATATCAGGGGAGCATTAATTTTGAACATGGATTATTAAGCGTAATTAATTTTGCACAGCGTGAGGAATGAGATGTCCTATGTGATTGGTTCCATATCTCAGGGTTCCCGGTATTTGATCAACAATAAAGGGTAAGCATCCCACTTTTAATACAAATGACTAAGCTTATTCACACCTCGAGGCTCTTCAGATGTCGTGTCAATCTATTTAAGACTTTTTGTGTCAGCCCAAGAGCAGTACTGTGTACTACACTGAAGGATGGTATGGAGGAGCGAATTATTGTTACAGCCTGTCTCGGGTACTTCCACGATAAGTAAATAGAACCCGTCAGCATGTCAGCACTACTACGGTGTGTACGTGTAGCGGGATGAATATGATAGGGGCAGGAATGAGGTTCAAAAGCAAATCCAACTCTGGACCCCAAAGACTCGGCGTGCTACATATAACTTGTATGCTGTTTTTAGAAGACCATTGACAGCTTTTAAAACTAATATGAGAATTTGAGCGACTAAAAAATGCTCTGCTCTTAGAATATAGCCGCCCAAAAATCAAGAAAGCGCGCGTTGACGATAGGTAAATTGAAGCCATACTAAGCCGTCAAGCCACCGAAACGTGTCATGTCGCGAGGCGCTGGGTGAACAAGTCATGGCTGATTTTAGGGCTAGGACAACGGTCTCGCAGCTTGGCTGTTGAAATGAAAAATTCCTTCATAGTATCAAGTTGGAAACTATCCGGACCTTTTAGATTTAACCCATTACCCTCAAACGCTTGTGATGGTCGCTTTCTTTCCCAGCCGTCTCTTTCAACCAAAATAATATCCGAAGAATTTTTGTAAACGAATAAATTTTACTGCTCGATCTGAGTCATCTTCCACTTCTTGCTAGTGTCTGTTGTTGTTCTGTCGTAATGACCGTGACTCAGGGAAGAAAAACATTCTGTCGGCGTCCTAACACGAGTTGCTGAGTCATCCTAACCTTTTACCTTCCTTTTCAAGAAGCTTAAGCCTTAAGATTAACCTTCTCTATCGCATCACATTGATATCAAGAGCTCCAAAAAGTTGGGTTATGTTCTTTACTGCCCAATCAATCTTTTCTCTTCTTCGATAAAAGAAATTCATCCGTCATTTCGCCATAATTTTGTTTAGAATTATGGACAAAACTGTCGATTTTAGGTTGCAGCCCATATACATGGAGATCAACCCCTCTATACGATGAGGCCGAGGGGCAATGGGCTTATCTCCTCTATCCTGCTTACGCACTTGACTACGACGACATACATTCCACCTGCTTCGTCTTTATCTTAGGTTAACGCTTACACCATTGCACATGCAATTGATTAATTGAATTCAGTTTCCTCTTGATGCCTTCTCGGACACCCACTTTCAAGATTGGTGATGATGATTCGCCGTAACGCAGCGATGCCTGACGCCGATAACCTACACAACCAAGGAAATGATTCAAGAAACAGTTGGGATGAAGACAATAGTAATGAGCTGAGCCCAACCGACGGTTATTTCAATTCGAATCAAATTCCTCAAAAAATGATTCCGGATCCAACACACTCACAGGATGATAACCCGAAAGCCCAAGAGGCAATCGAGGGGTCTACGAAAGGCAGTAATATCTCTTCGACGCCGCAGATGTCGTCGCACACCAACGCGTCAGCTCATGCAACTGAGAATTCTCGAGCTCAATTTGATTCGCCTCTTGCATCGTCATATCGCAGACGAGACAACACATTCTCTGGACATCAACTTTCATTCAATCAACCTCCACCAACTTATGTAGCTTCAGCAGAATCTTGTGGTGTGTCGGCACAAGGGCAACATATTCCCACGAACTACAATACATTCCCACAATCTCGACTCGAAGCAAGTCGACACGGAGAGTCTCAGAATACGGGAGGACCAGTTGCTAACTCTGAAATGAACGAGAGAACTCCCCTTTGGCTATTTCGAACACCAAAAAGGCTTTCTTTTCGACGAGAAATGATAACAAAAGTTCTAGGAGTGGGAATAGTTATTGCGATAATTGCTAGTATATTGAGTGCGGCTTTTATAAGCTCAGTAAGTTTGCCTCCCTGATGAAGTGAAAGTGCCTTGCAGACATGTAGATGCAATTGCATACCTGACGTTTCATTTATATCCTCATGTGTTATTTCTAATACCGACGCTAATAATTTTGCAAGGATTCCAAGGCAAATATGGGCGGAGGACCTAAATCTTCCAGCCTCGTCCATGATGGTAGTTCGCACTGTCAGCACGTATCCGATTCGGATCAAACTACATTCGAGATTCCACATGGCGCTGGATTAATAGTACGTCAAGACTTCTATCAACAAGATAGACCCCATTACGGGCGGGAAGTCCAAACCGCAGGGGAAGTTCGCATTCGACCTCTACCGAGAAATTCAAAGAAGAAAAAAGCATATTTCACAATTGACGTTAAACTGAGCCACCCCGAGCTGTCTGTCCTAAAGACCCTAAATGAGGATGATGGGTCGCTAAAAGTCAGCACACCACACTTTGCCTACATAGCGACAAATGAGAACCCTTGCATCTCACTTGAGATTACTGCTTGGATACCAGAGGATTCGAAGATAACAAACGTGTTTTTTGACTTGGTAACGCTATCAATCCAATTGTTCGATGATGTTAAGATTAAGGTTGTCAAATACACCCAGTTGAAGACGGTTTCAGGACACATTAAATTTCCCAAATACACAACTTCGTCAAAGGATGTTCCATCCATCAACGCAGTTGAAGCTCAACCACAAGCAAACTTCGAATTTGATTCTCGCCGCATTGTTGTCGAAACTGTTTCAGGTAAAATGGAGGGTTCTTATCCTCTGTATGACCTTCTAAACCTATCATCCCATTCCGGAGCTATAGAAATCAAAATATCCCCAAAACCCGTTCTCGAATCGGCTCCCGCTCCTGCTACTCTAGATATTAATACCTCTTCAGGTAGAATTGAAGTATCATCGCCCGTCAAATCACCAGAAGCCACCTACCCCCGAGAGTATATTACACGTTTAGGATCCGTTTCTGGGACTATCCGAGGTGATTTCTTCGTCGGTTCTACGGGGGTTTTCAAAACAACTTCTAGCAGTATTCAAATTGTGGTGAGACCTGTTTTACCAGCAACTTCAAATGATGATGAGACGAGAAATGAGTTTTCTACTCGTTCGATTAGTGGAACCACGCATATAACATTACTTGATCCTCTATTTATCTTACCTCCCACTATTGGTAACATTCATGATGGTCCACTTAACTCCACGGCAATTGACAAATACTCTACATACGCTCCCGGTATCATTACCTTATCAACTTCATCCTCTATACAGCCATTCAACAGTCAACTCCGTACATTTCACTCAACACACAGAACCACATCCGGACATATAGAATCATACTATCCCTCATCCTGGGTCGGCAATATCAAATCGAAAACAATCTCGGGAAGAATAAAAGTAGAAGGCAAAGGGATAGAGATTGTGGAGAGGAATAATGGATGGGGTCACAAGTGGATTAAAGCTAGGAAAGGAGTGGAGAGAGATAATGATGGGAATAGTGTGGGGTTTGAGACGGTAAGTGGGGCTATTGCGTTTAAGGTTGGTTATTAAGGGGTCGTGAAGGTTGGTCAATGACCAATTATGAGAAACGGAGGTTTGCGTCACAAGTGGCATTTGGATTTTCTGGAAATATTTAATGATTTGGTGATGAGGAACTACTTGAAGATGTGTGTTGGTTTAAAATACATTTGGGAAGAAATATTCATAATAATTCAACATTTTAAGGTGCACCATGACGGGACTTTCATGCTTTTCATCGCGACGAGTCACGGAAGAGGACTCCACGGAGGACTCCAAGGAGGATTTCAATCATTTCTTTCTCTCGTCTGGCGATTTCGGCTCAATGTGTTCCTTATTCTATTCTTCTTTAATCACTACAACTCAACGCAGCGGTATTAAGATCATCAAACATTTCCCCATGAGCACAACTTCTTCGCTTGTTCCCCGCCTTTCACACTTCATTTGAGGCTTTAAGGCTGGTTTCCCAACAATAATTACTCCGCAATTTTGTTCTAGGAAATGCAATATTTCTCCACTATTCCCCGGCCATCGCAGAAAATGATTTGTACGGATATCCGCTGCAAAAAGACGGTCAATATCCAAGGACCGAGTACCGTACTCCGTGCCTTGCATAATGTTTGCGTTGCATATACGGAGTATGGCTTGGATCCAAATCAATCTTTGCGGTACGGGCATCCATATTAGTGAAATCCAATCACTAAAAAATCAAACATCGATTTGAATTACTACTTTTCTTCTACATTACGTAGATGGCAGTAGTTACTTGCTTATGTATTTCTTAGTATGATGAACAAGGTCAAGTAAATCGGAAATCTCGGAAGGCAACAAAATCTGCTGCTACTATTATTAGTTTAGCTGTGGTACCCACAAGTATGGTGTGCTTCCGGTTAGATTTTCAATGACATATTTCATTGCTTCCCGTCTTTACCTCGTTGCTTTCTTGTGCATGGAAGGGATTGGATAAATGTAGCTTGACTTTTTGGTTGATGCAGGTACTGACCGACTTTATATCTTTATATACCAATCGCGTTCTTGATTGGTTACGAGACTTCATGATCTGTCCGTATGGGAAGTTCTTGAATAAACACACATCTGTGCTTACGCTTCTGGGCTCGCGCACAAACTTAAAGACGGGAACATTGGGATAGGGGAACTAAGTTTGCATAGTTCGTATATTACTTTACCTTGAAAAGAGTTTTTCAATCTATGCTTCTTTACTTTCATTTTCAATCGGTATATACGTTGATCGAACGGAAAAAACATTTTGGTATTCGTTCTTCCGATTATTATTGATCATACAAATTTCAATCTTGAGAGCCGATACAAGTTCACCGTTTCGGATCAGCATTAAGCAATTTAATCTTCGGTCATCTAAATTTTGGTAGATTTTGCATTTTCAAGTATTAACTTCCTAAATGTAAGATCTTACGTTCTTTTCCATAATAACTCCCCCGATGTGTTGATTCTTATACTCATTCCACTTCCAGTTTCCTTAGCTCCCAATTAGCCAAGCATAAAAAATGGCTTCTGTCCCAGAACACGAGCAAGACTCTCAACCGGGTATTCGAAAAATAATTTCTACCGGAGCATTCCCATCTCCTGATTCATACTGGCATCCCAATTTCACCACCTCCATAATCCCAATAAATTGCTGGTCCCACAACGATGAGCATCAACCCATCTCCCTATATACCGCTCTCGCGGCCGGCTGTATAGCCATCGAAGCCGATTGCTTCACTCCTTCTTATTACTCTTCATCTTACTTCCCTGCTTCGCTATTTTCATATTTCTCGTCACCAGAAGTTCCAATTCCCGAAAATGATCTCCTCGTCGGCCACGAAACCTCAGAACTTCACCTCACAAGGACGCTCTCAGCTCTTTATTTAAATCCACTCCTTGAGATTTTGATACAACAGAATAAAGCTGCAGGAAACCCGACTCAGAGAGTAGGAGTCTGGAATGAGAACCCGTATCTACCATTACATTTAACAATCGACTACAAAACCGTTTCATCCGGGCACGATGGAATTCCCATTCTTCATTCCCTCTTAGAACCCCTACGAACCGCAGGTTTCCTCACCTACTACGATACCCTCAATGAAAAACTAGTTCCCGGTCCTTTAACCATCGTCGGGACTGGCGATGCCGATTTCGAATTGATATGCGCATATGAACGCGTCTATATTTTCAAAGATGCTCGATTCTTCAACTTCCTCCCTTCTCAAAATCCATATAATTCACTTTACGTATCCGCTAATATTTCCACTTCCATTGGTCGATTCTCTAAATCCAAAGGGCCTACAAAAGAACAAGTAAAGAGTATAAGGAAGGAATGTAGAGAGGTCAGGGAAAGAGGATTAATACCTAGATATTGGGGAACGCCAGATGATGAGGAATGGTGGAGGGTGTTGGTGGAAAGTGGAATTGAAGTGTTGAATTGTGATGATCTTGAGCGTGGGGGAAGGTGGTTGAGGGGATGTGTTGTGAATGGAGTCGGTGTAGGAGCCTTGTGGAAGGAATATGTTAAAGAAGGGGAAGAGGAAGGCTGGGAAGGAGGGTGTACAGTCTTGTGATGGAAATCAACGGCATTTGATTGTTGGTTTCGGAACACTGAATCGAGGAAGGAAAGGTCAGTGGAATAGATTTATATAGTTTTGGATTAGATGCCATCAGTCATTATACCTGGTGGCCTTTTGTTGTTTAATGGATAATGATAGGTTGCAAGGATTTTAATTGAAAAGGCCGTACAGGAGTTAATTTCACTCATGTAGGATACATAATTATCTCCATACACGCTCACTTAGCCAGGGTTGGTAGTGTTGAGTCCGGATTTATCATAACGCAGTATAAGTATGTAGATGTTTCGAGTTTGACTGGAGAATTGTATTGATAATTAATGTTAGGATTCCGAGATATTTTTAATAAGTCTCGTACTGTTTTCGGATTATTATAATACTCTATTGATTAGTAAGTCTAATACTTTTTTTTAAACCATTTTTAATTGGAGTTATGTTACGAGGTTTGCCGTCTAGATCACGTGGAAGTGCTCTAGGCTCTCGAGGTGGTTTATAACTAGGCGTCAAGCAGGGACTTAAAGTAATGACAATAATGATATGTAATTCGTAACTAATAGTAGAGGTTACCTTGGTTTAGTCATGTGACGCGGCATAGAATTGATTGATTGATTGATTGTGTTTATCGTCATAGGCCGTAGGCCCACGCGCCTTGGCGCGTGATAACCTTAGCCATCTATTCCAGTTTTGGACAAATGACGCTCAGAGGAGAAGCCTCTGAGTGGTTTACTAGCTAGCTAGGGGGAGTATTTTTATACAATTTAAAGGGGGCTAGGGCAGGGTTTACATGATTGCCTTCGCAGGGGGGGTTTGGGCCGGTAGGCCTTTTGGGGTTGTAATTGTGGTCATCCTCGTCCACTAGATCACTACCTCTTGATCTCTCTCCCTGTCTCCTCGTACTTGTTTTGGTTGTTCGTATGCATGCTTGTTTTTTTTTTTTTTTTTTTAATGAAAGAAAAGGGAAAGATGAAAGAGAGGAGAGAAGAGGAAGGAAAAGCAGCCTTAGAGACCTGTTAACTCCGTTTGAATCCAATGAAAGAAAGAAAGTTTTTTTTATTTTTTATTTTTTATTTTGCACCTGTGTGCCATAGGCAGATTTTTGTGTAGAACTTGGTGTATTCTAGCCATTCGGCTAGTTTGGCTATACCGGTGGGATTTCTTAGAAGCCAGGGGATAGCTTCGGAGGGGGGGCTCTTTGTGAGCGCTTTGAAGGCTTTTCCTTTTTTGCAAAAGAAAAAGTGTAATGAAGTTTTCCTTTTATCGTACGAGCAATGGATGTGGGCTGTAGTGTGATTGAAGTGTTCATGGTATACTGCGAAGTCGCTATGCTATGATCTGATAGCGAGAATATGGTGGAGTGTGGCTCTCTTCAGAGAGAGGGTGTCTGTATTAGAAGTGTGGTTGAATTGGAGATCTTTGTAGTATTGTGGGCTGACTGTATTCCATAATTGTTCGTCTGCTTTGTTGGCCCTTGTTCTGATCATTCTTTTTAGGGATGCTAGCGTACAGATCGGGTTGAGGGGAAAGGGGAGTTTTGTTCCTTCCTTAGCGGCTTTGTCAGCTATTTCGTTGCCAGGGATATCCAGGTGCCTTGGGACCCATCGGACGCGGATTTTCCCGGGGGAGGTGTGTGGGAGCCTTGGTCTAACAGCCCAAGCTTGTGTGAGCTTCAGAAAGTCTTCAAAGACTCTCTATGAGGAACTATTGAAGTGGGATCCTAATCGGAGAGCAGCCTCGTGGTTGTCTAAGAAGATCCAGAGATCTGTGGCCAGTTTGGTTGATGCTAGAGTGAGGGCTTTTGCTGCCCCTGCTACTGCGGCTGTGGCTTCTGCATCGAACACTTCTGCATTTGTGCCTAATGAGAAAGAATGGTGTGCTATCTGAATATCGAATTGTGAGATTACGAATCCGCCCCCAGTTGCGCCATCCTTGCTTTCACTTTTTGAGCCATCCGAGAAGATTTGTATATCGCTTCTTGGGATCTTGGCGTGGAAGGCTTTGAAGTCTTCGGCTGCTTGTGCCTTCGTTCTGCCCATCGGACCATTGATGCGGGCCTCGGCCTCTGCCCTCGACTCTCTGATTTCCCAGGGTGGGAAGGCCAAGGGGTTTATGTGTTCAGTCTCCGGTAATGCTGTGATGAGCCTTGCGAATCTTGTATCTGGGGTGCGGTTATATTCTTTGGCTTTGGTTATGTTCTCTGCTCTGATCCTGAGAGGATGGTAAAGGTCTAGTCTGGTGGTTCGTGCCGCATATAATTGTGAAATCAGGTTTAGCTCGATCTCGGATGGTCTGAGTTTGGCTTCCTCGTAGAGTACTGTTGTGTTTGTGGTTTTGTATACTGGGAGGATTGCTTTTGTACAGGTGATTACCACTTTGTTGAGTAAGCTTAGATGGCTGTCCACTACATTTGAGATCGAGATCGGGTTGTTTAGGGCATTCTTCTTTGTTCTGATTCGGCCTGGCCACCACGTTTCCGAGGCGAAATAGCACTTTTTGAGTATGCAGGCTTCAGCCACTTTCCTGGTGAGATATGGGGGTATCCCTCGGTGTGTATTGCTGAGGGATCTTAGTGTGTTGGCTCCCTTGAGGGCTTTGGCTGCGAGGATCTGGACATGTGGTTTGAAGCATAGTTTCCTATCGAAGTGGACTCCGAGCCATTTGAGCGGGCCAGGTTTGACCTCTATATTCATAGATCCGGTGTGTATTGCAGGGGTATCCGTTAGTGTTCGATATCCTTTATAGAAGTATATAAGCTCAGATTTCTTGGGGTCAAAAGTGATACCTTCGGTTTTTCCCCATTCGAGAGTTTCTTGCATATCCATTTTTAGAGAATCGCAGTTTGTCTGTAGTGAGTTTGATGTCGCTAGTATCGCGATATCGTCTGCATATCCGAATCTGCTCTGTGGTTTGCCCATCCAGAAGAGAGGCGCGATGTAGAGTATGAACAAGATCGGGGAGATCGGTGAACCTTGAGGAAGACCGCATTCTAGCTTTGTTTCCGGGCCAGTCTCGCCGTCTAGTCGGATCTTGATGGATCGATTAGTGGCGAAGGACTGAACCTATCTAACCAGGTTGTTTGGCCATCCTTGTTCCCGAAGGCGATTTACTAGTCTTCCTAGTAGCACTGCATCAAAAGCACCTTTTACATCCATTATGAGCAGGGTGGTCTTTAATCCTTGTTTTAAGGATGCCTCAATGTCGTATGTAACGCAAGTGGTGAAATCCACTAAGGATCGCAAGGGTAGAGCTCCAAACTACTGGTTCGCTAGGACTTGATAGTTTAGAGCAAGCCATGATACCTTCTTCGCAATGAGTCTTTCGAGGCCTTTGCCTAGGACTAAGAGCAAGGCAATTGGTCGATATGATCTTGGGTTGGTATAATCTGATTTGTTGGGTTTAGGGATGATTATGATGGTAGCTAATCGGAAGCATTTTGGGTGGTGTCCTAAATATAGATAGCCTTTGAAAAGGGATAGGGTTACTTCTTTTATCTGTAGCCATACGACTTGTAGGATTTTTGTTGGGATTTCGTCTACGCCAGGTGCTGTGTTCCCTGCTTTTAAAATGGCCAGCTCTATATCTTGTATAACTATATCAGGGAAGATGATAGATCTGCTTGGGGCTGTAGGGGTATCGAACGGGATGTCGTCAACCTCGGCTAGGTTTGTCAGTAGGTTGTTGGCGAAGGTTTCCCTTTTCTCTTCGATAGTATTTGCAATGGTTTGT